ATTGTTGATTTTACCGCGTATTTGACTTAAACTTATTTGATATTATCATGATTTGGGCTGATTGCCATATTTGGGCTTCGTGCCAATTATTTGAACCCTTCGAGGATTTTATCACTGTTTCCTCACTATTTGACATACTACTCGAACTTAGTCCTGTTGATTATTACTGTCTTACAAACTCAGCCGTTTTAATTGAACTTTGAGACTTAAATGATATTTTCCAATGCTCTTTGAGCTGAGCACTACTATTTTATTGATGCCCGAGGGACTTATGATGTTTTCTGGACTGAGTGAGGCCGAGGGCCATATGTGAGGATATGTTAAGTATTGTGAGGAGGCTTTCAGGCCTCGAGTGTATTGTGAGGAGGCTTTCAGGCCTCAAGTGTATTGTGAGGAGGCTTTCAGGCCTCGAGTATATTGTGAGGAGGCTTTCAGGCCTCGAGTGTATTGTGAGGAGGCTTTCAGGCCTCGAGTGTTATGTGAGGAGGCTTTCAGGCCTCGAGTGTGATGTGAGCAGGCTTTCAGGCCTTGATTTATATGCCACGAGGTGGCTTGATATTGCGCTTGGGCCGTAAGGGGCCCCTCCGGAGTCTGCACCCCCACAGTGAACGCGGGTACCCATGTGGATCGGGCTGCACGCCGCAGCGAGATGTGGATCGGGCTGCACAACGCAGCGATTACTACATGATACTGTTCTGAGAGTGATTTGAGAGAGAGAGCCCGAGGGGCTGAGAGTGTTTCTGAGAGTGAGCCCGAGGGGCTGGTTCTGTTTTGAGATATTGTCCGAGGGGCGAACTTTCTATGTGCACAACTTGCATATTTATTTGCCTTTTTACCAGCTATACTGTGGTATTTGTGCCTGATGAGCGGATTTTTCTGTGCTTATCAGCACTAACTATTTGAAATCGTTTTCGTAACTGTTGAAAATCATTTTCAAAAGAGTTTTAAACTGAGCCAAGATATTTCTAAAGATTTCACAGCCTTACTGTTTTCTCAAGGGATTGTACCCTGCTTCTATACAGCATGATGGTTTGCTTTACGTGATTTCTTGCTGCTCAGTTATTATTTACTTTTGTTACTCACTGAGTTAGAGTACTCACTTTACTCCCTGCACCTCGTGTGCAGATGCAGGTATTTGTTCACCCAGTAGCGGGTTTTGAGCTGATCAGAGGCTAAGTTAATGGAGATTAGCGAGGTTGCTGTCAGCGTTCGTAGCACCGCATGTTCCTCCTTTGTTTTATCAGTCCTATTTGTATATTTTAGACTTGTAGTGGTAGTTATATTCTTATAGTTGCTCGTGACAGGTGACACCCTGATTAGGGCTGAGTTGAGTTGTAATTTCGTTAATCAATATTATTAGGTCATATTTCTGTTGTTCATTTATGCTTATCTATTTTCTTGAAGGAGACGAGTTGGGTTAGTTGGTTGGCCTTGTCTTCACGAGAGGCGCCATCACGACCTGTGCGGGGTTTGGGTCGTGACAATAATGGTATTAAGAGATAACATTATATATAACTAGTATAATGATATTTCGAGATATACCAATGTTATAATATACCTTTGATTTTTTTAATACGAAAGTACTCCCTGGTATAATAATGATATAAAATTACATTGTTTATAATGTATATATACCTCAAATATACATTATATTTTCATGAAACATATGTATTTTACTTTTTCAAAATTTAAAGATGTATACTTTCGCTAGAGTTTATGTTGTATAAAAAGGTACTAGTACTCTTTTTACTAGTAAAAAGATCCATATATGGAAGGTATAAAATATGTTATGGAAAATATTAGTTTCCAAAGAAAATAGGAAAAGATATTATCATTTAAATATGTTAACGATTGATTTCAAGAGAAATATAGGAATTTTTTTTAAAAAGTACTAGGACCGTTTTCATTAAGGAAATACATGAGTGCGTGATTATAGGTACATGGTTTAAAGATGTCTGCTAGGAATATAATTATTTAGTTGCCATATGTGTAAAATAGCTACTACGGCTGCGTTTCTAGAAAATTTTCTTAAATTTTGCCTATTTATATTTTTTCCCCTTTTTGGTACGTCTAGTTGGATAAGTCAGACGAGTTCTAAAAGCTTTACTTTTAGGAATTTTTACCTCCTATAGCAAAGATTAATATCTTATTTATTTTAAATAAATACTATTTAAAAAAATTATATTCTATAGATACTTTTTAATGTTTATAGCAAAATATCTAATTTTGGTTACCTCCTATCCCTAAGCCATTAAATACGCTATTCAGTTACACTATTTTCTTTCTCTCTCTACTTTGATACATGTCATTCTCTTCCCCATTCCCTGAAAACACGATGCTCAATCTCAAAATTCCTCTCACCCACATTACCTACCACTAGTCACAAACGGTGATTTTGGCTTCTCTTTATTCTTCTGATAAACTGCTGAGAATGTGTATATTAAGGATTTAATTAGTTGAAACTCATTGTTCCCGAAGCGGATTAGAATGGGATAAACTGATGCTGAGAATGGGTTAGAATGCAAACTGTAGTATCCAGCTACTGATGTTGAAAGGTCAATTTATTCAGCTTCTTTCTCTGTCGCAAAAGCGCAAATTGAAGATTGCCGAAATATAACTTGTTTGAATTATGATTTTGCGTCTTCCCTTCTCAGTGCGACATATTACCTCTAGCAAATCTTTGATTGAAACTCATTGTTCCTTAAGCGGATTAGAATGGGATAAACTGACCTTTCAACATCAGTAGCGGATTCGCCGGAAAGTAGGGTTTGTTTTTGAACAAAGACGACGGAGTTTGGGGTTGAGCAACTTGATTTTCTGGTAATATATTTCAATGTATTTTTAACTTATCACGCTGTATTTTCATGTATTTCATTGTATTCATTGTCTTTTTTTTAATTATAATTCAATGTATCTCGTTGTATTTCACTGTATTCAGTATCTTTCTATTTATTGTATTTCAATGTATCCCGCTGTATTCTATGTATTTCATTGTATTCACTGTCTCGCTATATGCCATGAATGTATTCATATATTTTTTAATTAATATAATTTATGTATTCAGATGTATTATATATGCTATGTTTTTGGGATATTTTTCGGTTGAGAATTTTTTTTATAACTGGAAATACAAAATTTGTGTGTTATAATTGAGTTTGTTGAGTTATATTAGGAGTCTATTATGTTAACTGATTCACTTTTCGTTTAAAAACAGTGTAATCCCCTATTTCACGTCGTGATACAGTTGAATACAATAATTTGTCCAACTATAATCCCATGTTTCACGCCATGAATACAAACGAATACACTCGAATACAACAACTGATTAGCTAAACTTCCCCGATTCGCGCCTATTTTTGCTATTGTATTCATGAATACAATAGCTTAAATACATCCAATACATCTTATAACAACAGAAAATGTATTTACAATCCGTAATATAGCAAATGGTATCTATAGAAAGCTAATTACCACTAAAAGATAGTGTTTTATGAAAATTTCTTTTACTTTTACTGGGCACAATTTTGCTAAGCATGAGATTACGATGTGACAAGATTTTTTCATGCATGGATCCCCAATCAACTATGAAAGAATTCAAGCGTAAGTTCCCTCGCGTCTGAACGATCACCTCCTCTCAGAGGCAAATTCGTGATTTGAATAATTTCCTAAAGCAACCTCAAGTTAATACTACAATAATAATTGAGTTCTAGGTTCACTTGAACCTGTAGCCAACCCTCGTATCCACCTCTGGTTAGGTTGTAAACATATCATTCATTTGGAATCATTAGTGCGTTGTGAAGCCCGTGGTGCACAGCTATTTCACCAAGGAACAAGAGTTCAGGCAGCACGAGGAAGTTTTAGTGCCAACTTCGCCAGCAGCATCTCAAACCTATAAAGTCCACGTGTGTCTCTGTCACCCTGACCCCACGCATAGCGAGAGCTTAGTGCGCCGGGCTGCCCTTATGTATCTCTGTCCTAAGGTGTAGAGGCTTCCCAAAAACTCAAACGGATAGTCCAGCATGGTTAACTACACTAACTACATTTTTTCAATAGAAGGCAACTTACCGAATACCATAGCCAAACTCTCAATAAAGTAAGGAGGCTTACCATTAAGTTTCTTCTCCAACTCCCCCTACTTTCAACATCACAGAGTCAACCACAGTTCCTGCGAGTATACCCGGAAAGACACCAAAAAGTTACAGAAACAGAGCAAGCATGAGGGATTCCCCACTCATGCTCGAGGTTCCATAGAAATTCCACACCAACATCTTTTCTAACCCCTTTCGGCTAGGCAGACAATCAGGGGCGGATCCAGAGCATGTCGAGTTCACCGGAATCCAGTAGCTTTTGTTCATACCTTGTATATATATATATATATATATATATATATATATATATATATATTAAGAAATTAATTAAATATCTATAAATACTATATTGTGAATCCTTAAACTATTATATATTAACTTGATATCGATGTACTATTGGATCCGCCTTGGCAGGCAATTCCACAAAGGCAGACTCAACGTTGGAGTGGCCCTCATGCTAAACTTTATAAAATGATGAGGCCAAACTTCAGAATCAATCTGAAGTCCATAGATTGACCAGCAAACAGATTCTTACAATTTACAATGACAATTAAAAATCTTTAAAGGGAGGAAAAAGCGCAGTACTTCTCTTCACATTCTATGTGTTACACTGCAAACAAGACCAGATAAAACTTACAAAGCACTACCGATTACAACGGCCAGTTGTTTTTCATACACAACCTGATATGCCTCATGGCATTTTACCTTCTTAAACTTGACCATTAAGAAGCAAGAACTGGAAAAAAAATTGCCTTGCCTCCAATAAAGTCTTCACCATCCTTAACTAATAGGTTATCTACATGCAAGTCAAGATAGAGACATCTAAAAGGGTGCATGATGAATGTCAGAAGAAAGGAAGAGGCCTCTCCTACACATGAACGATGATGAAAATAAACTTGGAGCAAAAGTTAATTGCATGAATCAAATTGACGCTGCAATTGCTAGCCAACTGCTATTAATATTAATTAGCAAAGTATATCAAACGTTGAGGAAAATATGGCAAGATAAAACTGAAGTCAAGCTCCAAAATGGGAAACCTATCATCAGCACCAAAAAAGGTAAACGACGAACATTAGTTCTAGCATGTTGTTGATTAAAGTGCACCCTGCTTGATGAGCTGCTCACACTTAATTGTCCAGCATTGATAAATTCATCCTTGCCAGAGGTTGTAGAAACATTCACAGGTGATGAACCTATAATAAAAGATTTTGTAAATGAATATTGGAGCTCCCTCATGATAGAGAAGTTCTAGGATGTATATTGATCAACGATTCCAAAAAGGAGGCAGTGTGGATTAAAGCGATGTCAAGAACCAAATCTGAAAGAATAGTACTTACAATCATAATCTGCCCATCCAATTCTTTTCCGAGCCAAGTCATAGACAATGATCTTATCTTTAAGAACAAGATCTGAGCAACAATAGAAAGAGAAGTGAGTGCCAACTAGTTTCCATCTTTACTCTAGATTCTCCACTCTCTGACAGTAATGATGCAAGCAATGCAATTAGGAAACCAATAAATATAATATTTGTATGGTAAACCACATTGGGACACATTTTCAGCATTTCCACTCCAAATCAAATAGAATATATGACTCCTATAATCACTAACCTACGGCGACTTCAGCTTTTAAAAAGTTTCATTTCATTCCGTTCTACCCAGTCCCCCTCTCTTCCCCCGTAAGCGATCTAGTGTTACATAATCTGTTATTTCAGAGAGTGGAAAATCTCGGAGAGTATCAGGAAAAGGTACCCAAGTACACTTGCACACATAAAATTGACCCACATTGCATCATATTTACCAAAACTAAGATAAGCAAACTTTGCTCATCACTGCTCACAAAAGGTACTTGTTTTGTTTCAGTCAGCGGCCACGTGCGGGTGCAATGTGTGTGTGGATAGATATATAGATTCTGAAAACCGATGCTTTTGGCTTGAGTTTTCAACAATGGACCACTGGAACATATCTACAAGCACTTTGGACCTAAACTCTTCAATTTGAGTTCACTATTACTTGCTGTGAAGAGGAAGAAGAAGCCGCAAAATTGACAGGAAAGAGAAAGAACAATATACAACGCCAAACAAATAACTTAAGTTCCACAGAGGGGATACTCGTTTCACTTTTTATCAACTATAAGACAGTCATAAAACTAGGATTATACAAAAGGCTGCTACATTATATGGCCATGAACTACGTCAAGACTAAAGACTATGCATCTGTTTCTACAAATGCTCCAAACCGACGACAATTTCTCTCACCTATACAAGTACCTTCGAACCAACATTATCACAGAAACAGAAATATCATGGGACAACCTTAGGAAGAACCTTTGAAAATGGAAGGGTAACCATATTCCCTTTAAAATCTTTCCACTAATCAACTATCCATGAATGCCTCTTTCTGCTCTCTTTGAACATCAGAGAACAACTGCCTGTGACTATACATGCTACCTTTCAGCTTATTAACTACTGCTTCACTCACTGAAAACACACGGAATCAATCGTCTAAATCTTTGAAGAATTTTGTCAGCGAAAAGTACTAAGAATCCAGTAATGCCAGGAAATGCATCTGGGCCAAGAAGGAAGCAAATTTTTCATCCATGAGTAGAGAAAGTAGTTGACAGCACAAATGAAAATTCTGTGACATTTCAAATCATAAAGATATCAATATGAAAGGTTTTCTAAGCACCGATAATACTCGAGCACACAAGTATACAGATATCATGCACAATGATAAGCACCCACTAAAGAAGCTAAAATGTAGAATGAAGAAATGGAAGTATGAGACATGACCATTATCCGGAAACCAACCTCCTAAAATTGTTACGCCTGCATTATCTTTTTGAAAGCTAATGCACCACATAGCAGCACCTTCCTGTTTAACACATATAATAGAGAGTCACTTATGTTTGTACTTCATAAAAATAGCAGATAAAATCATGAAAGTGACAAGGTTTAATATAACTTTCCAGTAGAAGACGTTTAAATTACAAATGCAGGTTTCAACACTCACATAAAAGCCCATATGCACAAGGTAGTCCGCTGGTCTTAAATCCATGGATGCACCACCAGCAAAGTTTAGAGAAACTAGAGGAAACATATTCGCTATGCTGTTTGAGAAACAGGGTGCCATGCTCAAGTCACGAAAGAGTTGTGTAGAGACCATTGAGGTACTTAATAACTTCAATTAAACACAAAAGAACGAACCTTGAGGAAACTAGATAGCACGGCCTTCTTCCTGATATGACTGGCCTGGCTGAAGGTGAAACAGCGGCAGTTATCTGCAGATGATTAAGTTAAAATAAAGACAAGAGAACTGCTAAATTAGTTAACCTTCCTTGCAAAGGTACATAGCCTTCAATGTAATAGAAAAAAATTGGAATTAACTTTGTACTAGAAAGAAGTTTCCGCAATATATCATTTGCTGAGGATAATGTTTGGGTACAGTTTGTAATATATGTCGTGGAAATATCAGTACACAAAATAAGCAGTCAACCATCTTGCATGGAGTACCCTTATGAAACATTTTACCAGCAAGGAGGATTGTGGGAAGACAAGGAAACACTTCCCACCAATCAGTCTTGATTATTAAAGAAGAAATGAAGTTTGTTGCGTCCAAAATGGACACTTCAAATTAGGTCCTTCAGCTGAAGTGCATGTCCTAGACGTGGCCATTGTTATGAAACTATCTTTATTGGATTAACAAGGAGGAAAATTCATCTAATTCTGTCATCTTGATTTGGGAGGAATTTTTTTTATATATGAATAGACTTCGCCTATTTCAGGCTTAGTCTGGACCACGTTCAATCTAAGGGGGAGGCAGATGATAAGTCCATTTTATATCGAGTTAATCATATCTTTTCCCATAGGTTTTGCATTACTTTTGAGAATTTATAACTTTGAATTAACACCAACGTGGTTAGTTTGTTAGATTTTGGTGCTTTGGAAGCTAATGTGACTTTGGAAGCATATTGAGATCAAATGGAAGAAAAAGTGGAGAAAACGAGATAGAGGGATAATCCTTCCTGGAAGGACCATCTGACCAAGGCATTTTAGCGGTTCAACTTTGTTGTTTTTCATAGAGAACTTCGTGGAATAAGAAGAATCAAGCTTCACCAAAGAACAAGGACTCAATATAAAGTTTTTCTATCTCCACTTTTACACAATAATACTGTGTTTTGAATATTTTGATTTGCTCTAGTATGTCTATATGAACTACATACCTTTATTAGGGCTTAGATTCTTTTGTGGATTCAGGGTTTTGATTAATATTATATGTTCTTGACTTTTATATATGTTGATTGCTAGAATTCTTTACCTAATTCGGCTCTTAACATTTTTGATTACTTCATCGCGTATTAAATTGCCAAGGTAATTTAAGTTTACCAGGAAAGAGAACTTAAGTTAAAAAACTGAATTGGATAGCCTTTGATTAATACATCCTGACCAGAATCCCACTGGAAACAATGACGATTAGCTTGTGGGGTAAGAATATCACCATTGACCTTAGGCATTCATGTTAGGATTGGCATTCAAAGCCTTATTTCTGGATTAGTAACCACAAGAATATAGGTTAATGGGCAAATATAATAGGTTCACTATATAGGAATACACTCGTTGAGAATCCTAGACTAAATTGGGAGAAAAACACTTACCGCATTGACAAAGGGTTCATAAGCTTCTGCGGTAAGATAAGCTAAAGTTGTACCAGAATCAACAATGGTTCCTCGATCACCAGAGATTGCAAAAACTGCTGGATCAACAGGCAAAGTTTGCCCATTGACGGCAATGCTCTGTAGATATACATTGTAATGACCCCTGCAAGTGTGGAGCAAGGAAACAAATAGATGTACACCTCAACCATTGTCTTTACACACAGTTACCAGTGCTAATAACTGAGAGGAAGCAGAAGCATGTCTGAGAACATCAAAAGCTAACAAAAGAGGAATACATGTTGAGTACATGAAAATAATCCATATTTATTGGTAAGTTCCATTTAAGAACCTACTTGTGAAGAGAAACTCATCTGGCATTTAATGCTAAAATTTGTTGAAGATAATGAAAGATTTCCATGTGAGTATCGATGTCATCCTCCATATTTACACATAAATTACTGTGAGAAACTATGTTGCTGCGGGTATCCCCAATGGTTCGGATCTAAATGTCGATTCCTCATCACATAAATTTAAGTACCAACAAATATTGTGTAATTATGACTCAATCTTTATTTTTAAATAATTAAATATTCGGGTGCTAAGATACGGCTCGCATTTTAGGAGGATCCGACATGGGTGCAACGGCATTCTTGGAGGATTTGGGCAACATAATACCTTCAAGTACCTTGGGTCGATGATTCAGGGGGACGGAGAGATCGACGAGGACGTCACTCACCGTATAAGGGCGGGCTAGATGAAATGGAGGCTTGCATTTGGAGTCTTGTATGACAAGAAAGTGCCACCGATACTCAAAGGTAAGTTTTATAGAGCTGTGGTTAGACCGGCCATGTTGTATGGGGCAGAGTGTTGGCCGGTTAAGAACTCCCATATCCAGAGGATGAAGGTAGCAGAGATGCGGATGCTGAGGTGGATGTGCGGGCACACTAGGATAGACAAGATTGGGAATGAAGATATTCGGAAGAAGGTGGGCGTGGCCCCTGTGGATGACAAGATGCGAGAAGCGAGGCTCAGATGGTTCGGGCACGTGCAGAGGAGAAGCCTTGATGCCCCGGTGAGGAGGTGTGAGCGGTTGGCCGTGGTGGGTACGAGAAGAGGTAGAGGGAAGCCTAAGAAGTATTGGGGAGAGGTGATCAGGCAGGACATGGTACGACTGCAGATTTCCGAGGACATGGCCCTTGATAGGAAGGTTTGGAGGTCAACCATTAGGGTTGTAGGTTAGGGGGTAGTAGAGCTTTCCTTACTTCATACCGGGGGTGAGGCGGGGTTGGATTAGGGTTGATCTTAGATGGCTTGCAGTTTATGTTGAATCCACACTATCCCTGCTGTTTATCTTAGCCCCGGGCTTTGGATTCTGGTTACTGTTATTGCATGTCATGCATCTTTTGGTTGTTATGCTTTCGTTACTATTACGGTTTCTACTGGAGTTACTAATGAATTGTCTTTTCTTGTTTTTTATTTCCGTCTTTCTGAGCCGAGGGTCTATCGGAAACAGCCTCTCTGCCCTATCGGGGTAGGGGTAAGGTATGCGTACACATTACCCTCCCCAGACCCCGCTTTGTGGGATTTTACTTGGTAGTTTTTGTTGTTTGTTGTTAGTTGAGAAGCATAGCACATATTGAATCGTCACATGGCCTACCAAGTTGTAGGACCGTAGACTTTGTCAAGAATCCAATGGTGCTTAATCTATACAGTGGACTTATATCAAGAACCCGATGTTGCTTAATCACTTCCTCTCTCTCTCTTTGTTTTGTTTTGTTTTGTTTTGTTTTTTTTTTTGGGGGGGGGGGGTGCTGAGGGAGTGACAGTAGGGATCTAGATATGACTGTAGTCTAGGGCTGCTACCTTAAGTCTGCCCTACTAACGGAAGGCCTCCCTACTATCAAGCGAGAATGAACTCTTCTTGCAGTCAGAGGAGCAAGTAGTCACTTGTCACTGCTTTCTGATCATTTCTCTATTCAAATATGCAAAAGAGAAGCACAAACTGAGGACTGCTTCTTCACTAGAATAGTTGAATAAGAATGAAATACATAAAATCCAATTATGCTCTAGCAAGTATTCTAAAGGCAGAAACTTTCTTTCTAACAAGAATTTGTTTTTTTTAAAATATTGTAAGTGCCACAATCCAAACCCACCCTGCTCCCATGGTGACTTGAACCCAACCTCATGGTTGCAAGTTATCCCTCTCTTTTCGAATTCAAAAGTTTTTCTGTACGACATAGAAAACTAAACAAGTAATAAATGCCGAATAATTTGAAATCTCATCCCAAGAAAAATTATAATAATTGTTTGCTACTGGGTATTAAATTACAGACTTTCAATTCAATTGCATTACAATAGGATAGTCATGAAAATATACAATGTAAAAGTTTTTTCAATTTTCCTATGTTAACAAAGATTCGCTTGGAGAAGCAGCATAACTGCATGTTGATATCTTGCAAATGCCTATTACACTAACGTTGATGGAAGAAAAACTTCACGAAAGCTGTAGAATTCTACTAGTGAAATCACTACTGCACAGAAGCCTGTTTGTCAAGAGCAGAAAATTTTGTGTGGGCAATAAATATTTGCATGCGCTGAAGGATGTCAAACCTAATGCGCAAATCACTTACTAACAATTCTTAGAACGAAGGATCAATAATCCACATTAACGTAGATATACAAGCTTTAGAAGGCATAATGACTGCAACCAAATAGCAATAATGGGATCTTTTTTTGATATTTTTTCATGCACTACCAGTATCACAAACTATTAAGAACACAATGGTTATCATAGAACATAAGGCACACTGCACACACAAAACTTTTTATTTCTAAGTATCATAATCTAGAACAAAAGAGTTCATCATAGAGTAATTAAAAATGTAATACGTACTGTGATGGAACAAGGGGGCTATAAACGATGCTCGGATTCAAAATCTCACCAAGAACTAGTATACCTCCACCATTGCCCTCTCCTTTCAAACAATGTGAAAACACTTTTGGAGAAATTCCACGTGCAGATAGTTGAGATATTACTGAAAGGTCCTGTGGACCAAACCCAAAAATCCCATCAATTGCTCTATCCATCTTGGTCAGGTCCCCAGACTGAGAGGTACTGCACCTGTTTTGATTTCAAATCAAAAGTATAAGCTTCTGCTGAAAAGCAAATGCATGCCCTGATTAAAAGAGACCACCATAGAACAAATAGAACATTAAAAAAAAGGGCATATAGACATAGAATCGCGAGAAAATAAAAAATTGTTTAAGGATAGAAAACATAAACCATTATGTCAAACGACATCTTCAAAATGTTAGAGCATGCTTGAGAAGCTCAAGTTTGTTTACTAACTTCCCCTACAAAAAGAAATAAATGAAGTATTTCTGCACATCTGATCACCATTGAAGCATCACATTACCCATTGAGTAAGTTAATCATGCTGCCTAGTTACAAATGTTTCAGCTAGCTTTTAGGTGAAGTATGGTCTAATACTAAATCAAAACCTTGATTAGAAAAACATAAAAAATTTGAAATATACTCATAAACTGTTACTTCTCTATGTTTCAGATATTTTGGTCCCATTTTAGCATGACTTCTAATTCTCCAATTTGTAGTCTTTCCACCACCAGTCATGATATTTCTTTTTGCCAAGAAAGGGGGGACCATGTTGTAATTTGAAAAGTCCCCCCCCCCCCCCCCCCCCAAAAAAAAATTAGAGCTAAAACTTCTAGTGAACCATGCTGCCTGGTTACAAATAATTTGACTTGCTGGTTTGTGTGAAGTTTGTCTTGCTATGCAATCGACTGCTATTAACACTCACGCTGTCACGCATAATGACAAAATTGTACTTCATTACTGATTTATCCAATTTCGTGTTGGCAACTTCTGGTTAGCTAATTAAAGTCCAATAGTATTTCGTCTCCAAGTTAGCCATATTTTCACTTCAATGACCGGCCTCATCTAGTGGGTCTTTTCTTTAATAAAGGCTTGCCACACTAATCAAGGTCATTAGGAGCTTCCTTTGGTTGACATCTCCTTTTTAAAATGCTTTAATAATTGGTATCAGTTCCACATACACACAAGGGTACATCCATATAGCCATCTAAGTAATCACACTTACCCAAAAACAATTGGTGCTGAAGAGTTGGCAATCAGCGAGGTTGCGAGGAATGTGTCAAAATATAATAAATCTGACACGTAATAGCCTGTTGTGCCACTTCCGTCTCCGTAACGAAAGGTGTAAGCACACTGATTTGTTTCACTAGAGCACTCAGTTGAAGCACACATTGGGTCTGAACAAGAGATGAGAGATGAAGTTGATGAACTCGCAGCATCATAGAAGTTGAGCTCAACCTGCAAGAACACAAGTGTGAGGAAATTCTGAAAGAAGAATTTCCAATATAATAAATTTATACAAAAAACCTAAAGAAGTAACAATAATACGATGGAAGAAAAAGTTCTACCCCAAGTCCACTTGTTTGAGGACAATTGTTGCAGGAACGACATGTAACCCACAAGATATCGCTCCCAGTATCAATCTGCACATTGTATTCTCTTGGTGGAGATCCCAGTTTTACTTTTGTATAATAAAGGCTAAAATAAGCAAAGAAAACCAGAAAAAGACGATGGTCAATAACATTCGCTGTGTAGAAAGAGTCATACATCACAGTTGTATGCTAATTGCTACATGCGTAACCGCAATCAGTAAGATGATCAACTTCAATAATAACAAAAAGAAAATGTCCAATTTGCGCATACGTTAGAAATGACCATCATATAGAACTAATCAAGTTCAATTAAAAATTCTACATCAGACAAGAAAGAATAAGAATTAAAGCAAACAGATCAGAATAAAACCAACTCCATCAGTACAAATAACATTGGATCAACACCAATAACACAACAGAAAAAAAATCATCATGCGATATATGTTTTTATACCTTTCAATCTCAGGACCCACCAACAACAAAATAGCTAGTGCATACCATGCAAAGTACAGTTTTATATCTTGCAACCTCAAGAATCGCTCGCTCTTCAAAAAGAGACATTATGAGAGAACAAATGCAAAATAGATATATGCACGAATAACAGAAAGTCAACATAATTATATAAAACCCAAGCGCCTAAGACCTTTTCTTGATCAATTGTCATCAAACTAAAAGTGAAAGAGTACAAAAAAATTCCAATTCATCCGCCAGGGTAGTGTTAATATTATGGGTTCGTCCAAAACCAGTAGCTTTGACTCATAGCCTCATACTCAGTAAATTTGTTACAAAATTCAGTACATAAGTACAAATTATATATTTTGAACCCAGTAAGCCAAACGGGATGTGGTAGTCTGGTAGAGTGCCGAACTAAAATCCATAAAGTTCAAATCCTGAATCCACCTCTATCGTAGACCAAGTCACAAATAAATTTTTGTGTGCATCAAATAAATAAAAACTGTCTGAAAGGTACCACAGGGCACAGGGCATAACCTTATAAAGAAAAACAGTCCCAAATTTCGCCGAAATTAATTACTATTCAAATAAATGAAACTGAAGCTTTTAAAAAATGGCACAGTAATAACAGAACACAAATGAGCTAGTAATTCTTTTCAGTTAATCGTAAACAAAGATACCCGAAGATAAATTGGTCGGATGAACCTATAACTGGAAAATCGACGACTCCGCCGGCGAAATTCTGCAAAATTCGAGAGTGTCTAGCTCGGTCTCTAGCTATAAGCTCCTCCAACTCCACCTTATGATTCAGAGGCAACACTCTTTCCAAATTCAGTACCCCCGCCGGAAAATTACCCCCTACCGCGCCGTCTTTGGCAGCAACGATAGTTAAAGCGGCGATATCCGCCATCACCTTCATCAACAACATCATGCCAGCCGTCGCCAGCATATCCACAACTGCATGCACGATTTTTAGCTGAAATGGTTTTGAAGTCTACAAATTCTATAAATAATTATGACTCGGAGCAAAAATGATTGTGAAAATTAGGATTATCATCAGTATAATGGACGAAAACCGTTTCAAAAACGAATTAAACTTTTCTTCATATTCTTTCAATCGAATTTTCAGTTTTTGCATTTTCACCTTTTTTTAAAAAGCTAAGGCCAGCTAAATCTGTACTCCGTCAGTCTCAATTTGTGCTGCAATTTTTATCCTTTTTGTCTGTTTTAAAAGGACTGCTACGTTTTTTGGTTTAGAAGATTAGTTTTTGAAATTTATTTAAGGGTCAAAAATCTTGTCTTAACTGTCAAACAAACTAAGAGGGAAGAAGTATTAATCTTAAATAAGTTGACTGGTAGTGTTAGATACATGTGTTTCGTGAAGTAGTTTGGGAACTTATATAGGGTCTTTTGGCAGATGCATTTGATAAAATAATGTATGCATTAGCTTTGTGTATTTATAATACCTTGTTTGATATATTTTTTGAACATATGCATTAGTTATGCAATCATTAGTTATACACTATGGGGTCGTTTGGTAGGAGGTATTAGAAAAAATAATGCAAGTATTAGCTCTATGCATTATTAATACTGATACTTGCATTAGTTATACATCATAGTTGGGATTATCCTATGTATAAATAATGCATAGAAAATCTTGACATTAGTAATACCAAGGTTATTAATGCATGCATTAATATGGTTAAAGACAAAATTATCCTTAAAGTCCGATAAAGCTAGAGAATATGGAGGGCATTTTCGTAAATAACTATTTCTCTTAAAAATTATGCAATGCATTTTAATTTTAATACACCACACCAACAGTGTTGATACCCAATTTTTCCCTATATATTTTTTAATATGCATAAATATCTTCAAAATAGCATATATATGCATATATAAGCATGCATAAGGTTTTATAAAATTTTTCACAATTTAAGAGTTTAAATTGATTTATTTTTTTCCCATTTCATTCATAAAATCCCCAATAATTATTTCCCAAACTATTGTTATGTTGATTTATTCATTTAATTTCTATTATGTGGCGAATATATTTTTTGTGCATTTTTATAACTGCATTTGGTCTTCTTTTTTTTAAGCTAAATTGCATATAATTGCAATGTTAGCCTATTTAGCGTATGATTACATTTTGTGTGCGTAAAATTGGTCCATATATTTTTAAAATGATAATTACATATTTTAAGTTATTTTGGTACATAAAATTATTTTCCAGAAATTGTTTATTATTTATCATAAATTAAATGGGTAAGTGGCTATTTAAATAATAGCCAGATTTGCCTTTCAATTGTAGCCCAAATTGAACCTATTCCCCAGCCCAATTTCATACCCAATTAACCCGACCCAGATCCTAATTACACCTACCCGATCCAAAACCCATCAGATCAACGGCCCTCGTTTATTCTTTCCTTTTTAATTCTAAACGACCACCCTAACCCTACTCATTTCCAAACTCCCGTCGCCTTCAGATGCTCTCGTCTCTTCTCTTCTCTCAACCTAACCCTAATCTCTCTTCAAACGCCGCCTCCCTCTCCGGTCATCTCCGGCGACCACCTTTCAACCCCAAGTCTCCAATGGTCCCTCCATTGCCTTGATCATCTTCTCTGAGGCCTTCAAGGGCCCTGGGCCACGCTAACTTATATCTAGGGTTACTGTTTTGGTTGTTCATGGCTTCTCCGGTGTGATTTTGGACAAAATCACACCATATTTGTTACGATCTTTGAAGTTTATAGCAAGTTCTTCCACTTCTATTTGGGTTTCCTTGAGACCCTAACTTTCGTTTGAATCTCTTAGATCTGTGCTATTTTTAACGATTTAAGTCTTTTTCTTTCTATTTTCTACACTATTCTCCAACCTCTTTTAAAAAATCATCAACTTTAAGCCGTTTTTACTTTCTTTAAAGCTAGGGTTTCTCGGAGTTTCTTCTACAGTTGTTTAAACTGAATTTCCTTTATGTTTAAACCTCTTTCCTTGCTTATCTTGACTGATCCTATGTTCTTACTGCTTTTTAACTCACCTATGTTAAAAGCCCTAATTTTTCTTTCTAGATTTTCTTTGTTTGGTTCTGTGTGTTAGCATCACTACTCGACTCTTGTTTAAGTTTCTGTGATTACCTTGCCTCGAATGTGTTCTTACCGAGTCCTTAGCCTACTTATATCACCTATGTGTGGTTGTGTTCATCTTGATTGTTCAAGACTTGCCTCTTTCTGTCGATATTGCTGACCTTGCTTGTTTGCTACGTCTGTTTGTTCTTCCCTATTTATATGTTGAAGTATAGAATCATAACCCTCTCTTGATTGATTCTGATTTCCTTATTTTGATGGTTTGATTGAAAGATTTTCGTTTAAAACCCTAAAATTCTACCTTGCCTGTTTAAATTGACGGATCCCCTACCTTATTTGATGTGGTACTTTATTCTCACTAAATCATTCCCTTAATTGAAGTTTTCTGAATTTAGTCCCAATAGACTACCTTATGCTTACCGAACTTTGATTCTTTCCTTATTAGTCATGTACTGATTTTTCTTGCCTTATATGATACTGGTTCTTACCGTTTGAATTAGTTCCCTTAATTAAGGGAGTACTTGCCTTGATTTTATGATTGATTGATTCTGAGTTCCTCAATTATTATGCTACTATGATTTTTACCTTATTTACTACTTGTTTTCAAACTATAAATACTCTAGTCTTTCATTAGCACAACACACGAACACTGGGGTTCAAAACTATCTCTCATACTAAAAATCTTTGCTCTCTCTCTTGTGTTATTTGCTACTGTTCTAAGTTAGCCGGCTGCAAGCCAAGGCTGACCATTTGTGCTCTCTTGTTCTTTCATTCTACTTACTCTCCTCTTCACTGGTATGTCCTAGTTTCAATTTAAAGTTCCAATAACAACATGATTATTTTATTGTTTCAGTTTTTCTTGTTTCTGGTTTGCTTCTATTTGTGGTTCTGTTGTGAAACTTGTAGTTAAGAGTACATTACTAGCATATTATTATATCTCCCCCCTTCCTTTAGATTAGTATATTCCCCTTTATGTGTGTTGCTGAGCATGGCTTACCAATTGCCTCTTACTTGTTGTATACTTACCATACCATATCCCATGAATCCCCTAATCCCTATCACCCCTCTAAGTGGTTGTGTTCTTCATGTCTGGTTTTGTGACTATGCTAGTGTCACCTGTTTCTGGGCATGTCTAAAACCAGTCCTAGACCTTTGCTGGGTTATGTGTGTCCCAAACCCCCTTGACCCCTGTGTGTGACTGCTGGATTTACTCGGTTATGTGAATTAGCTGTGTATGAACCTATCCTAAGGTGTTTGGACTTTGTTAACTATTCCAATCTCTTTTTCAAACAATCTCTGTTATTTCACTGAATTACTTCAAAAGGGTTCTGTTAAATACAGTTTCTTACTAAAACCTTTTCAACTTGTGTCCACCACTTCTCACTCTACTCTTTGTCAATAAGTTCTGCCCCCTCTAGTATGTGTACTGCCTTGGGATCCTTTTGAGAACCCTCTAAACTCTGGCATACTGAGGTTAGCCTTTCCATACTGCACTTGTTCAATCTTTGGTTACTAAATCTAGGTGTAAGCACTGCTCAGGATCCTTGAGATCCTTAGGGAACTTTGATGCACCTAGACTCTGATTTGTCTATGGAATTGAGGCATATGAGGCCATTGGAGGCTTTGGAAAATCTGGGCCTAATCGGAGGCTCCCTATAGAATAGCTTCTTGATTTTCTATATTTACTTATGTAATTCATTGGTCTGTGATAATTTGTAAACAACTCTGGGATGGATAGTGGAAAGGGAAGGGGTGACTATGCATGCTTTAGCTATTAAAAGGGTAGAAAATATGTTATTATGTTTATATTCCTACTTACGCAATAGAAACCATGCTTAGGACTCATTTCATGCATTAGAGATCATGTTCCCTAGGACTTACACTTACTGTTTTCAGCATGTCCATTTCACTATCATATCACTATCAAAATCGTGTGTTAAATGTGTTAATAACCGGTGTTTTCTGCGATCATGTTCCTACTGACATGCACACTTAGAGATATTGTTTTAGGCTAAACAACACTAACAAACATATCATCTTTGCATATTCTGGACATCATGTTTAAACGCTGTAATATTTGTGCATATAGAAATCCTGCTTAGGATTCTGCACATACATCATTCTGCATCTCTGCACATTAGATACCATGTCTTTAGGATTTCATTTATATTCGCTTAAGCACGCTTAGGCTAACTATGAATGCATACAAAGGGATAAAATAACTTTACTCAGTTTTTACAATCATTTGGCAATAATTCTATGTGCTGAACACCTAGAATAACATGTTTAAACAACTTGTTTTCAAACAGTTTTCTTACTTCTGAAAATCGGTATATTATCTCACACCTAAGCAAGCCTTAGGTGACCAAACTGTTAAAATTGGAAATCTGCCTTCTTGTGTATGCTGCCTAATTCTCAACAGGTTTTAAAATCAGTAGGCAAACTGATTGGGCCTTTCTGAGTAATACAACAAATCTGCTATCTGCTTATCTTCTAAAATCACCTAGATGTCATGCCTTAGGAGTCTGAATTAAATACTGCCCATAACTATGTTTGAGTCGTGTTGTCTATTTGTATTTCCTGTGGAGGTATACTTGGGCCTTTCATCTGCTTCTCTGTGTCTCCCCCTAATTGCAGTCCTATATGTTCTTATTTGTCGCCCTAGTATTTTTCCTTTAAACCTAAGGGTCTGCGTAGAACATCCCTTATAGGTAGATGTCCTAACTCCCTTCAGGACCATTAAGAAGGGACGGGTAGCAGCACGCAATAGAGATCGTTGACCAACACTCGCTTTGTATGACCACTAAGGGGATGAGAGGGTAGATATGGACATGATGACCGGTGCGCTAATGCCACGCGTAGGCCCTTTCCAAGGAGTGATTATCGGGCATTGTACTGATGTGATCCTATAGGCTAACCAACCTAGGACCTCCCTCTCCCCAAATTCTCTTTACTTGAAGCTTTACTGTCTTGCACACAACTTGTTTAAATTCTTGTCTTATCATTTGAATTATACAATACCCAACATGCTCTATTTATAATTATTTGCTTCAATTGTTTATTTTTGGACTAATTCATAAGTACAAGTTCGTCTGGGACCCACAGTTGTGGACCAAGAGGGGTGCCTAACACCTTCCCCTCGAGGTTACTTCGAGCCCTTACCCTAATCTCTGGTAATGCAAACCAACCCAAGAGTTAATCGCTCTAGGTGCCCTAACGCACCAT